CACTTTGAACTTGGACTTAACGCCTCCAAATTGTAAGAATAAACTCCTGTTTGTTAAGACCATCCCATTTGTGGTATATTTCTGTCAGAGTGGCACTAGTTAACCAGAACAACTGCCAACCTTCTGGTTAACAGTCAAATGTTTTAGGCTCTATGCCACCAGAGCTCCTTAAATCTAACAATTTGTTGTTGCTGTTGTTATATGCCATCGAGTCGGACCTAACTCACAGCAACCCCTCTTTGGGTTTCCAAGGTGGCATCACTTTGGAAGTAGAGTGCTCCTTCTTCCTTCCGAGCAGTGGCTGGTGGGTTTGAACCACCAGCCTTCTGGTCAGCAGTCCACTGCCTTAGGCACTATGCTACATAGAAAAAATTATAAACTTGTCTTAGGGACGTGAAAGTACGAGACCCAAATAAACAGATACGCTTGTCTACCATGGGAAAGAATCTGGCAAAGGCTGCAGTTCTCCCCGGAGTCTGTGAGGTCAGTGCCATCCCAACAGAAATTTCAGTGGGGGTGCCTCACGAAACCCTGCAGGTGGGCCTCGCAGTTATGGAAGAGCAAAGGGGCAGTAGCCAAGAGACAGGTCTGAGACAGAGACAAAGAGATCATCGGCGGCAGCCATCAGGATCTCTCTCTCAGAGGCGGTGGGGGACTGGCCAGAAGCACAGCTACCCCAGCTCAAAGGACGGAGGCTCAGCACAGAGCTCGCGGGGGAGAGAAGACAGAGGTGCCCAGAGCACTCAGTGCCCGAGGACAGCCTCCTTAGGACAGGGCATGAGCCACCTGGTGGTCACCCACGTGGCATGCAACACTAAATGATGCCTCTTTTGTCTCATAAGAAAAATAAAACAGACGGAAAAAATCGCACGTGAAAAACAAGAGTGAACGTTAGAGTCACGTTTAGGAGCACAGCATCGTGATGTTGGGAGAGAGAAGGCTTCTTTAAGTATCAACATCATCAATCGAATGAAACTGATGTTCAGATTTGTAAAATTCTGCACAAGAAACACTTTGCACAAAGCTGAAAAGCAAAAAAACAGAAAACCTGAATAGGGCTGGTGGGTTGAATTCACTTCCTGGTTCTAATACTGTACTGGTGTGCAAGGTACTACCACTGGGAAAACTGAGTAACGCTACACCGCCAACCCACAGCAGAGTCTGTTCGCTGCTGGGCACCAGCGCTCCGTTCCGCTCGGCTCCGCCCACGCTGCATAGGCATTTCTGCTAAAGCGCCCCACGCCCCGCCCCGCCCCACCACTCGCACTCAGGAAGACGCGTCCCCTAGGGCCCGCCCCACCACACACCGGGCTCCGCCCACGCCGCGGAAGCACTCCCGCAGAAACGCCCCGGGCTCCGCCTCACCACACG